ACCCAAAGCTTATAAATGTCTTCAAAGCTTCAAAAGAAGATGAAGAAATGATGAAGTGAGTTAGGTGACGAAGAAGATGAAGAAATGATGAGAAGAAGGTATAAAGACTTCCTCCATTGGAAAAAGTATGAATGCTCCAAGAGGAATACCTAAGAGAAACGTAAAGACAAAGAGAAAGAAAATACTCCAAGCCTTCCAAGCCGAAGAAAGAACGACATAAGCCAAGGTAAATTTTTTTAACTTATTGGGATAAGAAACAACAACACAGTGTTATCAATGGCGCAAATGGCGCGCGCCATAAATGCGCCATTGGCGTTTGCCCTCCCAGTGCCACAAACATGCTTGTGGCGAACAAGCCTCTTGTGGCGGCGCCATTCTTGTGCCATCAACATTTTTTTTCTTTTTAAGTTTTTTTGCTTAGTTTAGGTCCTATAAAGTCTAATTAGTTAGGCCCGATACAAAAAAACCTTTTCTTTTTGGTCAAACTCAGCCATCACTCACTTTTCCCAATTGCAACCATCGCTCGTCCTCTTTTTCTTCTTTGTCAATCGCGACCCAAGAAGGAAGGGAGGGACCTGCGACAACCTTTTTCTTCTTCTTCTACAGTCTACACAGCCTGTGTTTCACACGACTCTGGAACCTGCGACGTAAAATGTCGTGCTCTTTGGCCTGGGAACACTGCACAAAGCTAAAAACTAAATTTAAGTAATGATTTGGTATGCAATTTTTGTGGTGGTATAAGTAATGGTAAGATTAGAAGATTCAAGCAACATCTGATCATAGGGCATCGTAACACAATAGAATGTCTAACTGTTCCGGAAAGGTTGAAGACAAGTCTCCGAAACTTGGTTTTGAAAGAGGCAGGTTCAAGCATCAACTAGTAATCCAATGGTTCAAGAAGTTGACGAAGATGAGATATTTCATTATATATTCATATCTTAAATTTTGAGACTAAATTTTAAGTTTGAATGACTTTTGAATTTTGCATAAGTTGTTTTACTACTAGCACCTTAAATCGTTTTGGATTTGGAATAACTTCTTATTTGTGTTTTTATTTCCAACATGATTATTTAGATCAAGTACCCTAGTTTTTTTTTTTTGAAATTCATGTCTTATACCTGTGTGAATCTTAGTTAATTATGTTGTGTGACTAGTGTCATATGATGATGCCATATTTACGCCATCGCCATATGATATTGGCCCATCGCCATGAATATCGCTATGCACCATGACAACGATGCAACCACAACAACCCAGTTGTATCCCACGATTGTAGGGTCTGGGAGGGTGTGTACGCGGACTTTGCCTCTATTCGAAAGTAGAGAGCCTGTTTCCAGAAGACCCCAGGCTCATGCAGCACTAAAAATAAAAGATCATAAAGGCATATAGAGTACAGAGAGCACAAAGCACAAAAAGAAACAGGGCAAACTAAAGTTAACGAAGGAAAACACTACAAGCAGAGAACATCAAGCATACAACAACGAATGCATCAACTACCACCTAGCCTGAAATGCCTACCCAACTATCTTAATCCTAGCTTTTCAAAGGCTCCTATTTAAGGCCATATCAGCATTAAGGGCAAGAAGTTCTAGGTCCTATCTAATCATATCTTTCCAATTCTTTTTAGGTCTACCCCTTCTCCTACTCCCACCCACCGATGTAAGCCTCTCGCATGTCTCCGTTGCCTCACATGTCCAAACCACCTCAACCTAACTTCTCAAAGCTTATCTTCCACTGGTGCCACGCCCACCCGTCCTCGGATAACCTCATTTCGAATCCTATGCATCCTCGTCTGACCACTCATCCAACGTAACATCCGCGGATCTCGACTGTATGCAGCTAGCGAACGTGGGTTTTCTTAGTTGGCCATCACTCTACAACATATAGCAAAGGTGGTCTGACCACGCATCGATAGAATTTGTTGTTCATCCTAGTCGAAATCTTCTTATCACACAGCACTCCTCAAGCCAACCTCCACTTAACCCAAGCTGCTCCAACACAATGGTGACATCCCTATCCAACTCTCCATCCGCCGGAATAACCGAATAAAGATACCAAAACTTGTCTACCTTGGACACTGGTGAGACTCGATCCTTGTAAAAAGCTTATCCCATATATGCTTCAACTTTGTTTATACCCCTTGTTTTGCACGATATAATACTTTTCACTTACTTAAATTCTTTCTCGATCATGTTTTTTAAGAATATCCCCATAAATCCCTGGAAAAAAAAGCTTTTAAAAACATGCATTAATTTAGGGAAGTTTTAGTTTTAGGGGGAGTTTTGTGGTAAATGCATCTTTTACCCACTGATCTTCAAACTATCATTTTTTTGTAAAAAATTCCTTTTTGATATAGGGAGGATTTCAAGAAGTTATACATGTTTAATATTCTTTGAATGCTCTTTTTTATATTTCGACAAAAGGGGGAGAAGATGTGTACTACAAAGTGGTGCATATACAACTTAACTTGAGTGCATTCTTGTGTGATTGTTTGCATCAAACCTTTAATAAACACAAGAAAAAGTTCAAAGTGAGTATTTGAAATGTGCTTATTCTTAGGGAGAGCGTGCACAATTCATTATTTTTACTTCCGCCCAACTCACTTTGAAGTATATTGTTTTTCAACATAAAAGCGGGGGAGATTGTTAACCTTGGTTTGTTAAATCTAGTGTTTTGATGTTAATAATATATGAGCTAATGTTTGTTTGAGTGTTTCATGTACAATAAGAATCCATTAAGAATCGGTTCTCAAAAATGAAGTTGAAACACCAAACTAGCATAGAATATAGGTAGAACTAAATGTAAGGATATGATTTTATATACTTATATTCACAAGCTCAAATGCAATCACAAAGTATGTTTAAAATCGTCTCATAATCTCTGTCAAAAATCCCAAAAGGTTTTAAACCAAACTAAAAGGGATTCGAACCAAGGAAAAGTTAATGACCAATGTGTTTTTGCCTGTAAAAGTAGCTCAATACCGTCACATGGTAGCCTAGTACCGTTATGTTCCTCGAAACTAAGTTCTAGTGAGTTTTGGCCTTTGACAGTCGATTGGTCGCTACCGCCTGTCCGCCTCACATTAGCATGCTACCGTCTAATAGTAGCAAGGTACCACCTGACCGTTGGAAATTCAAATTTTAATCACTATTAATTTGTCTAATTAAACCCCAAACAGTCATCAACGTTCACTAATCATTCTCAACTATAAATAGGGTCATAATCCTTCATTTTTTTAACATTAACCAAAAGCTCAAATCTCCTATTTCATATTCTCAAGTGTGTTCTTGGTCTTGTTCTTCATTATTATTATTTTGGCTATTTCAAGAGCCTTTTTCCTGATTTTTATACACACACTATTGAGCTTGTGGTCTAGATATATACTCTCATATTCATAGGTTGATTTAGTATCTTTCCCGGAGAGTATATCTCCGTTCTTGACCGGCCAAGGATTGATCTTTGTCACTTTATTTGCTGTGTTTCTACACACATTTCATCAGTTGTAACGGTAGAGCCTATAGGATAGTCGAATAAATCTTTGTGTAAACGGTAAAGCATAGCCTTGAAATCCTTGGGTAAAAGGTTCAAGGGTAGCCTTCACATCCTTGGGGGAGCAATCGGAGAAAGCCGTGAAATCTTTGTTGTAAATGGTTAGAGATAGCCGCTGTGAAATCTCGGGGTAAGATCTCATTGGCGAGGGTTGTTTGCCAAATCTAGTACGATGCTTTGACGGAGTTCAAGAGAGTCTTAAGGTACTAGAGTAGGGAGTTGCTGAACTAGTATAAAAATGGTGTGTCATTTATTTTTACGCTTTGATTCTCTGCATTTTTCATTGCTTCTGCAGTTGCCAACAGCGATTTTATTAAGCCCCAAAAAATTTTTAATCACCCTATTCACCCCTCCCCCCTCCAAAGCATGGGCACATCAACTAACAGTTTAGTGAAGAGCTATTACATAGACCTGGACTCCGGAGACGAGGAAAATTTCTCTAAACTGCGAAAACATATAGTTGTGAACTATTTACTGCTTTTAAGTTATTATTACGTGTGTAAGTGACTGAGAAGATAGTACACCACATCTATCTCTATGATTAATGTTATAGCATCATCTCAGTTTTTCGTTTATTACTTGATTTATTTTCTCTTAGGTGAATTATTATTTAAATTTGGGTATCCTCACTATATTTCAATCTTAATTAGGGAAAGAACGAATGGCAAATTCGACCAACGCAAGTAAAAAGAGAGGTATAAGCCATGTCACTCGAAGCGGACAATCTACTTAGTGACGCATTTGTAGCAAGTAGTTATATCAAATTTATTGTGACACCATCCGAAAAAGATGTGCCTAATTTGGTTGGGTAAATTTTTAAATGAAGAGATAATTGTTGTTGAGATTTATGCAAATGAAAAGAGAGAGAAACATTGTAAACCACAATAATAGTTTTTGTGTGTGAAAAGAAGCATAATTAATTGGGACAAACTATAAAAGATAGCAGACATGGGGAGTACAACAGAAAATAAAAACAATTGATGGGAATGTGCATCTTTTTTGTGCAATAAATTATATACTCCATCTATCCCCAAAAAAAATCATATTTTGAGTTCACGGTTCTAAGAATAGTGTTGAAAAGCAAAGTGTGGCTGAAATCTGTTTAAATGAGAGAAATGTTGTGAGCCACATATCCATTTCCAAGGAAATCGTTATCTCTTTTTTTTTGGGTATGGAGAGACTATTTAGAAAGTTACAAGTTTTAAAAAATAAACATTGACAAAAGTCAAGTAACAATGATACAAGAAAAAACCATGTATCTTGGGAGACGAATCTTTGTCTCCTATCAGAAATGTAAATTCAGTTTCTTCCATGGAGACAGTGCCTAGTTTTTTAAATGTAAAATAAAAATTAACCACTGCCTACACTTTTAAAATTTGCAAAGTACGCACCACTCTAGAGATGCATTAAATTATTAATATTCAGTAAGACTTAAATCAATTTGAGATTACCAGGAACAAAGTATGCAGGTTTGTGTGCCATGTCTCTAACCACTGAACTTTCCAGTAGGTCCCCCTTCAAAATAAAACAGAATATGATTCTGCATACTATGAGATTGGTGAACAAGTAGAGAACGGAAACATGCAAGATAATAAAGAGCTAAAAGTAGTAGTTGGTTGACCTTTTGAACACAATCCAGAAGATCCATTGCATACGCAATGCCAACAATATTATCTATACGCTGCTCGAAAACAGGTACTCTAGAAGAATAAATTTGATTTTATTAGAGCCTTGAAAGGAAATAAATACTAAATTTAATATCAGAAATTATATTATACCTAGAATACTGATGAGTTACCCACAAATTGTGGAAATCAACCAGTGTTCCACTGGCATCAATTGCCACAATATCAACAAGTGGTGTCATAACCTCTCGAACATGTGTATCTTTGATCTCTAATACATTTTCAATCATATCCTACAAGAGGGAACACACAGAAGAGACAGATTCATTTAGACTGCACGCATAACCTGTTAAGCATTCTGTTGCATAATTTGAAGGAGGATACTTGAAAGAAATGAATTGCATGATTAGATAGAAAAACAGGATTACTTTCTCTTTCGTTCATGTTGGTTTAGGTGTAGGCTATGGTTGGCCAGGGTAATCAGTCTTACCTAGTTAGGATCTCACCAAATGTTTTAGTAATACCTATGCTAAAGGCCAGTGGGAGAGTGCAACAACAGCCACAACAAAATGACCAAAAATAAAATTGGCATCAAGGATTTACCATCATCTCTGATGGAGCCAAAGATTCACTATTTTTGGCTCTGGAGTATGATGGGATAAAGCAAAATGGCTCTTTAAATTGTTTGCGCTTCTTTTAATAGTGAGGTAGCAGTTAGTCAATGTAACTTGCAATGCTTTTCAAGGGTCATCAGGAACAGTCGTACTATGTTTTGAACATAGGGGTCAAGGCTGCGTACATCCGACCCTTCCCCCTTACCCCGCAATGGGCGGGAGCTCGAGGCACTGGGGTAATGTTGTATTAAGGATTTATAACCTCAAGCTTTTCTCCAATGAGTTACAGCTAAATATGAGGCTCTTCCCCATGAAATAGAAACAGTAATGAAAAAAATTGAAATACTACATGCATATTGTTCATTTTAATAAGAATAAATAAATAAATAATGGATCACCAAAATGCTGCAGTCAGTATAAGGCAGAGCCCATGTACTATTTTGATATGTGAAATCCATGCACTAGTTATATATGTGAATCATGTCTTAGCAGTATGTGATGCTTTTCGCATCCAAATGTTGCTACCATGGCTCACTTTGATTTCTAATTAATGAATGCAGCAGTGTAGACCTCACTAGGCTGAGATGCTACAGGGACCGGGCTAATTCTAGTGCAGCACTTTAAACCAAGAACACAAATGGTGCTACCTGCTCTTCCTCCTCAATTGCACCACTTAGCTCTGCTCCACGAAGCATTAATTTCAGTTCATCTTCAGTGACATATGGTTCACTGGAGTGCAAAGAGTTAAAATCATAAACAAATATGAATGCATGAATCATAAATAAAGAGCCAATATGAACAATTGCAAACTCAACAAAAGTCGTGGAGAATTTTTAGGCATTCTTAACCTTGTGCCTGTGAACAAATTTACTCTCTCAAATGTTCTATAACCTTTTTCACTGATTTTTTGGTTGTAGAGGACTCACACGAGGAAGATATTTGGCACTAGACATGAACCTCAAGATCTTTATCATCTAAATCTACCACATCCACTTCTTGTGTGTCCAATAAGCGGGTAATTACTCTACATAATCGACTTGGTCATCCTAGCTTTTCTATATTTTGACATATGGTTCCATATCAAGTCTTTTTCTTTGATTGTGAATCATGTCACCTTGGAAAATATCTCTTTCACTCTTTCCTAAGGAAAGTCAATAAATAGGCTTAACCCCTATGATTAAGTTTTCACTAACTTACATCCCCTTAGGGAAAAAAAACTCTTTCACTCTTGTCATTCTTCTTATAACTTTCTGATGTACTGAATACTGATCCCACATACTACTCATCAGGCTCTTTGACATGTAGAGACAAGCAGTGTTTACTGAAATGGAGGCCTTTCGGTTTGCTCTTCCTGGTAAGTATGTGGTAGATCTTAGATGTTAGTGATGAGCTCATGAGCATTTGTTCTGATAGAAAAAACTGATTGTCTTAAACCTCAACTGATTGCCAAATGGTATACTCAAATTTATGGATCGGATTATACTGATACTTTCTCTATTGTATAACCAATGATACTTTCGCTATGGTATAGCCAAAATTGCTTATATAATACTCCCTCCATCCCACAAAACTTTCCACTTACACTTTTTACATGTCCCAGAACACATTTCAATTTGGGCTAAATGGACATAAATGCCCTTGCTTTTCCTAAATCTAACCTAACCAACCCCAACTCCCTTCCACGCCCTCTCCATCGTGAAATTTTTCAAACCCTACTTGTTTCAATTGTCGCCATTTCACCTTAGTCAATCTTCTATGGCTTCCCTCCCAAATGTCAAAATAGGAAAAGTTTTGTGCGACGGAGGGAGTATTGGTTTTGTCCATGGAAGCTTCACTGGTCACTATTCGAGTGGGAGGTTAAAAATGCTTTTCTTTATAATGACTCATAAGAAAAGATTAATATGGTGCAACCACTTGGTTTTGTTGCTCAATTGGAGCCTTGTCTCAAATGCAAATTACGCCGTTTTGATATGGCTGGAAACAGACCCCGTTTGCGTGGTTTTGAAGGTTCGGTAGTGTTTTACATGGATTTGGCATCACTCAAAGTGGTTTTGATTATTCTGGGTAACATAACATACAGTCTTCAAATAACAAATGTACTTTATGAGGTGGAAGCAATATTTGTTCAAAAACTCGAAGGAATCACTCAAGTGACGCAATATTGGTTCAACACATTCCAACTAAAGACTAGGAAAAATTGAAGTAGTACTTCATTTGTAATAAAATTTCACAGTCTAGTGATGCCAATGTTTTTCTTGCCCGAAGAGAATATGTGTTGCATATTCTAAAAGAAATTGAAATGCAGGGTAGACCAGCAAATACTCATATGGACCCAAATGTCAAAACAGGGGAGAGACTGTCACACAAATAAAGTTGTAAGAAGTTTGCTGGGAAATTAAACTATACCAAAATGTAAGATTACGTGTGGAAGCAGAAATGTATCCAACGGCTCTAACGGCATGTGAAGTCTTGGGGTTGAAGCCGCATACTCCCCATGAATTTAAATATGGGAGAAAAGGATCAGCACGATTAATGTGTGGTTACCAAGCAGCCATAAAGATAGTTTTAAACCCAACGCATGATGAAATAACAAAACATATTGAAGGTGATATTTCAATTTTCATCAAAGAAAATATTCATTGTTAGAGCCACCATTACACCCATGTTATCAACACAGAAGATCAGCCCCCAATATTTTGAAAAAGGCTCTAAGGGGCACAATGTATTCTTAACAAGCTTGGTGCACATGACCAATATACTGCATCTTGAGTGGAATGTGGAATTTAGTTGTAAAGTGTGAATTGAATTTAGCAAGAAAGTAATACTTCATCCGTCAAAAGTGAAGTGTACAGTATGAGTGCATGAAATTAAAGAGAACTGTGGAAAAGTAAAGTGTGGTTGGGATTTGTTTGGAAAAGAGATAAATGTTGTGATCCACAAATTCCTTTCTTTATTAAGAAAGTAAGGAAGTCTAAAATTTATTTTGGGACACCTGAAAAGAAAAGTGTAAACTTCATTTTAGGATGAAGGGAGTGTTACATTATCCTAAACATATACCGATATACATTACAATTTTTATTTGCTTAAAGCCCAAAGTTTATCCTGTTTGACTCGACAAATACACTAGGATGGAGGGAGTAATTTGCATGGTGTAATGTTGATGTAAATAGCTTGACATAGGATTGGTTTCTTGCTATATATAGTTCAAATTCTTTCAATCAAGTGTTATACAGTACAGGTTTACAAATGAATTATGTTCAAAATTAAACATTGTTGTACTCTCTCCAAGACTATCCTCATCTCTTCAAGTGTATGCAGTCAGAAAGTAACAGAAAGTCAAATAAACAATTGTCTTATAAGAAAATCCAAAACTATATCAACAAATTTTGAGAAAAGAAAGGTATCACTTTTATTCAATTTCAAAATCTCATTTCAATTAACAAATCAAGTACGGAGTAATAATTGAGTACCAAAGAGTAAGCATTCCTCTTTGCATTTGTCAATCGCAATTGCATTAACGTGAAGACATGCAGCTATTAAAAGCTAAAATGTTTTATTTCAACCCAGTCATATATTCCTTGAATCACTTTAATGATATAAAACGATGTATGAGATGTGGTACAATACTACAATGTATAGTTTAGTAATTTGGTATTTAAACATAGATATCATTTTAAATTTTACAGGATCGTGACAATAATGGGTACATGTACATCAATCCAAATAGAACATCTGAGAACTCCACTGAAGTAATTAAGTAAACTTCAACTTAAACCAACTTGGGGCAGAAATATTGATTCTATCCATCCGTATAGTTGCTCTGAGTTCCCGATTGGATAGGAGTAAGAAACGATATGCATTTGTTGGGAGTTCATTAGTTAAACCCAGTTCTATTGCTCAGATGGCAACTACCTTAAGTCCTCTACTTCAGGATGATAAGTTGGTTTAGGTAGATCAATCTAAATAGAACAGCTGAGACCTCCTCTAAACTAAACATCTACTTTAACCAACTTGGGGGTCGAAATATTGACTCTATCAATGCATATAGTTGCTCTGATGCCCGAACGGATAGGGGTTAGAAATGAAATGCATTTTCTGGGAGTCAAACCCAGTTCTATCGCTCAGAAGGCATGTACTTTAAGTCCTTTACTAATGGACAATAAGCAGAACAGTGAAGAAATTAAGAATGCTAGTTTTAAAAAAATATGGTATAAAAAAGTATCAAACTTTCATTTCTGATCTGCACACCTTCGTCCCTTCAAGCCAAGAAGTTTTAGCATTCCCATTGAAAGGTATGTGACAACTCTTCCTACAGGATACAGTATCAATGAAAGCCATGCAACTGGCCTGACCTAAATGCATTTGAGGTCCAGCATCACGAAACATATTTGAGCAATAAACTAGCCAGCACCAACAGTATAACTCAACGGGAAAGAAAAGTCACAACTTAAGTTACCACAAATCTAGCAACCTCGGTGGCATTGTGAACAGCTATGCTTTTTGGAGTAATTTCAGTTAGAAGCAATACTGCCACCTGATAGACGAAAAAAGTTCTAAAAAACCACCATAAAAGGACCAACTGAGAAATTCAATGAGATACGTGACTTACTGTCATGACTCCTGTTGCTGCACTAACACCAGCTTCACCAAAAGCTGCCGTTGCAGCTTCAGTAACCAAGGCTGTTGCTCCAATGTTCACAACTCTGTTTGAACAAACGAGTTTCCATATGACAATAACTTTTGTGTTGAAGTGGGGGAAGCATAAAAATATAGGGATAAAACTTCAGAAAGGGAGGTACGTTGTGCCAATGAGTATAGTTGTAAGAAATCGAGTAACATCACTCCTTAACATTTTGAAGACTCCATTTTCAGATTCTTTCTCAGCTAATTCCCTCACCTAAATGGATACAGTCATACAGAAAAAGATAATTGCATGAATAAATTATATAATTGAATAGATATAGGGAAAGAGAAAAGCTATACAGAGAACCACAAAATGGCCTAATACACACCTCGTGCATCAATCAAACATGATAATCACAGTTATAAACATAAATTAATGTGCAAGGTAATTTGCAAGAGAGCCAAAATAAAAGATGTTTTTAAAGGCAATACGAAAAAAAAAATCATCAAAGCACATATAGCAATCCAACAGGCTAGTTATGAAGAACAAATTCCCAAGATTTGGAATAAAAAACAAATGCAGTAACAATCCATATGCAAATTTAATACCAAATTGCCAATAGCAAAAAATGAATACAGTTTTACGCTTCAATTGGCTACCTTCCATGGCCAAAGCGTGGTGATTGAAGTCTCGGCCATGGAGAAAAATGCAGAGAGTCCTAGAAGCAATGCCAAGACCAAACCTTGCTCTTTGAAAACTCTAAGAACCTGCAGAACAATTGGCCAAGAACTTCTCAAGTGCATCATGCTTTGCTCTAAAGCCTCGGAGCCGGCACCGACAATCTCTTCAATATAAAGCACTCTCTTGTACCAAAACACTAACGCCCCAAACATCAAAGCAAACAAAATCAGGCCTCTCTTCGCTAAAACCTCCACTAGCTGCACATTCACACTCGTTACACTGTCATTAAATTTCCCGCAATGAGTAATATAATTCACAGATAGCGGTATTGGAGAGAGACGAATGGAATGCAGTCCGGTGTTGAACAAAGCCCTGGAACCGTGCGGAAAGATGTAACTCACACTGCCGGGGTGTTTTTCCCTGCAGCATAAACTCTTGGCGTATATAGACGCGGTAATCTTAAACTGGCGGCTGCGGAGAACTCTAAAAGCTGGTCTATTAAAGAGATTGTGTTCAAGAGCTGCTGCTGCTTCCATGTCGATTCACACGATTTATGAGTCAAACTCTAAAACAATTGGACATAGCTAACACGATGAAGGTCAGATTACTTCGCCCGTAGGAGGAGGAGGTAGAAACACCAGATAAGGTGTGTTCATTCTGAAAATGTAGGGGTGGGCATGGACTCGGTTGGGTCGGTTTAGGTAGAAAATAGAATAGTGTCACCCCGTTCTGAAAATGTAGGGGTGGGCATGGACATAACTTATTTTTTCTTATTTTTTCTTATTCTTATTAAAATCAGATCAGATCAGATCAGATCAGACCAGATCAGATCAGATCAGATCGAATCAGATCATATCAGATCAGATCGAATCAGATCAGATCAGATCCAATCAGATCAGATCAGATCCAATCAGATCAGATCAGATCCAATCAGATCAGATCAGATCCAATCAGATCAGATCAGATCAGATCAGGACTTATTAAAATAAGATCTCATCAAGAATTATTATTATTATTATTATTATTATTATTATTATTATTATTATTATTATTATTATTATTATTATTATTATTATTATTATTATTATTATTATTATTATCATTATCATTATTATTATCATCATCATCATCGTCATCATCATCATCATCATCACCATCATCATCATCATTATTATTACATTGTCAATCTAATTCTACTTTTAAAATATATTTTTATTGCTACTTGTAATTTGAGTTTCTAAACTTTTGATCTTTTATAAGGATGAGATATTTTAATAAAAATAATATCTCTTCTATATATTGATTATCAAAATTTAATTATTTTTTAATGTATATCTAAATTAAATATTTATTCTAATGTATAATTCTAATTTTACAAAAAAAAAATCATAAAATAAAAATATTATTACATTATAATATGAATGATTATTCTAATATATGAATTGACTATTTTTATTTTATTAAAAAATAATTATTAAATAAAAAATTTTAATTATATTATAATATGAATTATCATTACAATTTTCAAACGTTATTATAAAGTCAAATTAAATTATTGATTTAAAATTTTAAATTAAATCATAATTAATCCAGATCAGATCCAATCAGATCAGATCAGATCCAATCAGATCAGATCAGATTCAATCAGATCAGATCAGATCCAATCAGATTAGATCAGATCAGATCCAATCAGATCAGATCAGATCAGATCCAATTAGATCAGATCAGATCAGATCAGACCAGGTCAGATCAGAACTTATTAGAATCAGATCAGATCAAAAAAAATAAGTTGAACGGAACGGAGCCTAATTAGGCCTATCAATAGGTCGGGTAGAAACCCAAACCGTATAATACCCGTAATTTTTAAGCAAATTTAAAAATATAAAAATAATATTTAACCTGTACCCAAACCGTACCTGTTATTTAAAAAAAGAGTCAGGTATAGGACGAGTAATTTCGACCCGTTTAAAACTAGTACCAGTTAAATAAATAGATGATCTTAAATATTACTTAGTTTCACTCTAGAACCTTTGTCACAATAAAATCTGCCTCTGTTCTTGCCCGTGGACATAGTCAACACAACGTAGGTGAACGACATTAAATTTGTGTGCCTTTACGCTTTCTGTTTACTTTGATTACTCAATTACTCTATTCCGTAATAACATGAAATATATCATTTTTAAAAATTAAAAAAGTTTAGTTTAAAATTTTGAAATGAAAAAAAGTATAAAAAAATTCAAACTAGATCAATTTTTAAAAAATACTTTTTTTTAAAATGGTAACTAAGAATTTTAAAAAAAATTGAGGAACCTAGTTTTTTTGAAAATTTGGCCAAAAGATATATATCCCTCCTTCCCCGCCTCTAATTTCACTTTGGATAACATATACAAAATTGGGGGGACTAGATTTTTTTAGGTGAAAATTTGGCCAAAATTATGTAACACTACTAGTCCCGCCTCCAATTTCACCCCTTCTCTTCGTCATTCAGAAACCTCCTTGTCCTGCATTCAATTTCATTCCTTCCCTTCGTCATTCAGAAACCCACCATAGATCTCGATCTCGAGACAGGAGAGCGCGAACAAAATGGAGGCGAGAGTTTCTCTCTCTAGGGTTGCTGGAACACTGGCGCTGCTCCACCCCCTTTGATTCCATCTTTGAACCCGAGACTCTTTTCTTGGAATTTTTGGATATCTGGGTGCGTCTCAAGCAGGAGAATCCCAATTCGAAATCAGTTTTTCTGTTTTCTTGCTGGATTTTGGAGTATTGAAAGTCAACGCTTTGTGGTTACTGTTCATTCCGCGACCAATTGAGGACTGAATAACTGCATTTAAAGCTGCGACGGAGACGAAGTGGCCAAATGGACTCCGGTAGCTGGCCGACCCCAAATCCCTAGCGATTTCACCGTCAATGATGATGGACCTACGCCGGTGTCCGATGAAACCGCCAACGGCCTTTTTTACACTGGTACTGATATGAATCAAGACGGCCAAGGTGGGACGGGACCCACCCTTCTTCTAGAACTCCCTTCACCGACCTCAGCTAAATACATGCTGATCTTGCCCACGCTCGTACCTTACAAGAGCAGGTTCACGTCATAACTAATTTTTCTGGTCTGTGTTATTTTTTTTCCAGTTAACTCCATCTTCTCTCAATTTTCTCCGAATTTGTTACTTGTTTTTTTGGTGCTTAATTATATTTCGAAGCTATGATTTTCAAATCTGAATATTCTTGAAACCAGTAGATACCGATATTGTTGAGCAAAAATTGTGAATATCTTTTTGGGTTATATATATATATATATATATATATATATATATACACTCCATATATGTATGTATGTGTATGTATGTATGTGTGTGTATATATATATATATATATATACACACTCCGTATATGTATGTATGTGTGTATATATATATACACACACTCCGTATATGTATGTATGTCTATATATATATATATATATATATATATATATATAACTTAGTTTGTTATAACTCTATTATTGTGGTACATGGGTTAGTTATATACTGAAATTGGGTCTCTACTTTTCTTCTCTCATCTTCTATGAGAGCCAAAATCATGAGAAATTTTCATGTCTGGGATGATCCTCTTACTTTCCTACACTGAAAATTAGTACATTCGTGATTATGAAAGATTTTTTTGTAGTTTTGTATGACTGTTGAGTTTAATCCATCAACTCCTCACAAAAGGCATCATAACCCACTTGGATATATGCAACTTAATCTGTTTTATCGAATTGAAAACAAACTAGAGGTGCATTTCATTTATTCTTTTTTCTGAGTTTGAAACTCAAATGTTGAGAAATGGAAACTTAAAGTTGTAGGGTAATTGGATTGCCTGGTAACTTGTATTCTATTGAGAAGCTAGGTTTAGTTGGCTACCTTTTTTAGTGTTTACTTTGTGTGTGTTGTCATTTATTCTTTCTTTCATTCTATTGTGTTTGTTTCAAATGTACTTTATTTGTCGAACTTGTGTTGGTTTATCCTATTTTTGTTTTCTTGAACTGGGGGTCTTTTGGAAACAAAGCTCACTAACTAACTTTTATACGTAAGGGTTAAGTTCTGTGTACAACCGTACACCCAAGCTACCCATACTTTGTTTGTGGGGTGCTAGTGTGTTGTTGATGTTGTTGAGAAATGGCATCTTAGTTTTCAGATATAGAGAGTTCATTTGGATGCATAAATTGATTGAGTAATGCATGATTTGTAACACCCCAACCCGCATAACCCAAATAAATAGATTAGCGAACCGGGTTGCTACTAAATTGGTATTCACATACAATATTTTTCAATAAATAAAAACATTTAATTTAAAAACTAAAACAATTCAAACCATTTAATTTACATATCAGAGTTTATACAAATAGTGCGGAAGACTTGTAATTAAATCAAACATTCTTTAATCACTGCATCTGTACATCTCCTCCGTCATGCTGCGCTCTGGGATGTAGTTCAAGGTCAACCCCTCCATGATTACCTACGTGTAACAAGGGGAAAAGAGGCTACACGCTCAGCAACGAAGCTAAGTGAGAAATATCTAACAGTTCGAACATACACATATGCGAATTCACTAATTCATAATCATAACATGATATCATGCAGATAGGTTTAATATCATGCAGTTCACATAAACAATTCATCATGTAGCTTACCTGGCACCCGCCCTTTCCCATTCTCATCAAACGAAGCGTCTCTTGCAGTGGTGGATCACCAGTCATCAGTACATGAACTCTACACTAGACTAATGACTTACTAATTTTCTGGGAGTCATGATTGTTCCCACTGGATCAGCGGATCATGCTCAACAAACGAGGGAGTTCTCACTGTTGGTGGATCACCAAGAACTTGTCCCTATTAATTATACTAATCTAAGGACTATAACTTTACTGTATGGGAGACATGAGGGTTCCCACTGGATCAGCGGGTCATGCTCAACCAACGAAGGAGTTCTCCGTTGGGTGGGTGGAATCCCCGCCTGATGGATCACCAGGCAGTTCAAGGATACCCGTACGTACGTTTTACCCGGTTCGACTTAACCATTGGAGCCCAGCAGGCATCCACCTGGTTTATACTCTTAACTTCCTATATTTATGTCAGTCCCAAAGATTCCCTTTGGGTAGACTTACCTTACCAACGCGTTGGATCAACACGCAGTACCTGTTTGCTGTGTGCTGGATCGGCCCACTCATACTTGCAATATCATATCCAAACATATGTATTTCATGTAATCACACACGTGTTGGATCACCATAATAATATTAGTTCACATAAGTGTTGGATTAACACAGAGCGATCACAATCATAACACATAGCGGCCTAGAATTGGGTATTGATACCCAAACTTACCGTCATACAACACATAGGGTCTCAGAATCAATCCTTGACAAAAACGCATATCGACAGACTCAGCATCAGGTACCAGACGGTACCTGTCACGGTAGGGGGTACCGTCCATACGGTACCTGGATACCGGTCCTACGGTAACAGGGTACCGACCGAACCATCTGGCTCTTCCGGTGGGACTGTCACGGTAGCCGACTACCGACTCGGCGGTAGGGCCTACCGTCCGTTCGGTACCTAGGTACCGAACGGTCACAACTACCGTCAGAGGGGAACGGAACAAACAGAGTATGACGGTAGCACGGTACCGTCCTGGCGGTACCGCCTACCGTCTAACGGAATAATTTTTCTAACTTCTTACCTGTTTCATTTTTCAGCAACAAATCAACTACAATATCATAACAACCAACACCTATAGGGTCATATTGACGTTCTAAACATTATCAATCACTTTAACTCGTAATCAACGCCTAATCATGCGTAATACCCTTTTTGATTAATATAATCCACAGAATTACAATCAAGCAATTCAACGAAGTAATTCACACAGATCAATCATGATGACAATTATGAACGGAATTTCAAATATATATGCACATTCTAGTGTTAGATGTCCACGTACTCACCTTGATTCGTCGATTAGAATTCATCATCGGAATATATTCATCCCGTTGCCCGAACCGATACGGCTGCCCAAATTGCCCCCGCTGCCCGGAATGGCTGGAACACAGAGGGGGGGTCGCCGGAACTGCTGGGGCCGTTCGCCGGAACAGAGAACATCCCCGCCGGAGTCAGAATCGTTAGCCGGCGCTGGACTTGCTGGTCTACCGGCACCCTCTCGTCGTCCACCGGAGACATTGGGGTCGCCAGCGCAGGACTTCGTCTCTCGCCGATTGAGACATCGCCGGCCTAGATCGTTGCCCCTCGTCACTGTCCACGCCGGAGCTCCAATCTCCGCCGGTTGTCATCGTCGGATCTGCTCGCCTCGCTGCCAAATCCCTAGGCCGCCGTGGTCACGAGCTTTGGGTCGCCGGTGGGAGTCGCTGTCCCGGTCAGCGTCGCCGTGCCCTGTGCTGCTGTGACGGATCGAAGAAGAAGGAGGAGGATGGCGGCGGTTGAGTCAAAGAAGAAGAAGAAAACGGGAGAGGGAGTATTTATATTTCTAAGGTTTTGTGCTCCGTAGTCTAAATTAACGTGTCTGAGAAAAACATACTTTTCGGGCCAACTTGCTCCGAATTGAGATCCGTTCGCGTCGTTGAATTCGATTCGTCGATCCCTACCCAATGATATAACTTTTATAATCATTCAACAAGTATTTACCGGTTCCTCCTGGTCCATATTGATTCTTTTGTTTAATTAGTATCGATCAGTCTTTTACTTTAAATATTTACAAATATAATCAGATTAGTTTTATTATATTGAGACGATTAAGTCTCTAAAGTACCTTCTAATTCTTTAAAAGAATAGATTGTCGTAAATAAATAATTCTTATTTATTTAATTATTATATAACTTCTAGACTGGTTTCTGGGGCGTTACATGATTCAAGTATCATTTCATTGTTGTGTCGCCCTCTAGAGCTTAGAGAGTGTGATCTGTCTACCTCTGCCGCCCTGGGACTTCTCGAGTTGAGACATACTTTGGAGAAATTGATTTGCCATAATTCATGTGTATGTTCTCTCCCCCTGATTTTACTAAAAAGTTCTCACATACTGTACAAAATCTCTGAGACTAAAATGAATGAATGAATTCCCATTTAATCAAATTATCTTAGGATGCATTGCGGCATGTCTTTGCAAGTAGGATTGCTGATATAAAGGCTTCGTGGCAGTGGAACCGTTTGTCAATTGTTTAATGTGCTTGCAATGACTTGCTTCTCATGGATGAGTCCTTGCAGCTCCTTCATGTTGTTGAGACACTTGATTTGAGAAGGAACAAGTTTGTTAGAGTTGATAATCTTCGGAAGTGCACGAAATTGAAGTTTTCGAATTCAATCTCCGGAGAAGCATATCAACACTTGGCGAGGTAAATGTCTTGGTGCTTTAGTTGATGTGGTTCATGTAAAAGGAATTTTTAAGTGATTGTTTTATGACTTGCGTACAAACTAGGGCCATCTCGGCTAATCCAAAATGTTACTGCCATTTTGCCAAATTATGAACATAACTTTCAAATTTAGAATCTAAAGAGCACTTTAAAAAAGATATTTTTCTTTCCATTTTCCCTTTTTCAAATTGATCAAGTATTTACTTTGTAGATGCTTATTTCCATTACTAATGTTCTTCCAATTGTGTGTATTCGGAATCTTTTATTCATTTCTACAAATGAAGATGCTGATATGAGTGCTAAGTTTAGTGGATGTGCAATAGACTTATAGTTTTACCATGACTTGTTCATGCGTCTTTGAAGAAGTGAATAACTAACTAGTAGTATTCCTACTTGGTTTGTCATTGTGCTTTATCCTGTCCAGGTTTCTTGTTTTGATTATACTTCTTTAATAATGTTCTGCATATGGGTGAGCTCTTGCACTACACTATGTGTTAATTTGTGAGTATTATTTGTGTGAAGATGAGCCATTGGGGTTTGGTAGAAAAATGATGATTTTTTTAATTATTTTTGTATAGGGATTTGAATGCAAGTATCGCCACAATGATATTGCTATGCTCAACCCCAGGGACTGCTGGGGTTTAGTAGGGAATTTTCATAATCTTGCAAGTTTGAGAGGCCAAGTTAAGTACAAGAAGTCACTCTGCATATGATACTTACTCCTCCACATACTCTGCCTATGATTGGCACTCTGCACAAATTTTATTTTCATTATCTAAAATGTGTTGTCTTTTTTAAACCTTTGTAATATGTATGCTGCACTAAGTTGCTCCACTAATATTTAAGTAAATACTCCCTCCGTCCCACTCTCTTTGTCCACTTACCTTTTGGCATACCATCCAATGCACTTCTTTAATCCATTTTATCTTGTAATTTGTATATTAAAAAATTATAGAAATTATATATTAATAATCTATATGTTAAGACAAATCAAACAAGATCACACATGACTATATTTATGCTTACACATTGAGAGAATTTGATGAGTCAAAGTGCTTAGATGAACAGTTTCAAAAGTCAAAAGTGGACAAAGAGAGTGGGACGGAGGTAGTATTAAGTTATTAGATGGTATTAATATTTTGAATATATGATTTTTTTTGTTTCGTGATTAATATTTTATATTTGAAACAAATTTTAATTATTGAAAATGGGTGCTTATGATTTAGAGAGACAACATATAATAAAATAACTGCATTCGGATAAACAATTCGACCACTGTTCAACTTGATAGATTGAATTGTATGTCGACAACTACACAAACCTGTAGTGTTAATCACTGCTAGACATCTGAAACACACCGTTGTTTGAAATTAAACAAAATAGTCTTCTATGTTCTAGATATACCTTAAAAAACAACAGTTGTTTGATGCAAATATTTCTAGTGGTCTTTCAAGCAGTTGTCTGATAACCAATTGGATTACTATTCAAACATATAGTTTGAATATTTCAAGGACCAAAAAACAAAATCGTTGTGTTAAAAATCGTTATACAACTAAAACAAACAGTTGTTTAAAATAAGACTAGTAGTCTCAATTTGTACATGCAACACAAAATAACCATTGTTTGATGAAAATATTTGTAGTGGTCTTCCGAGCAGCTGTCTGATAATCAATTACACTACTGTTCAAAAATATAGTTTGAATATTTCAAGGGCAACTGTAAAAAAGCGTAGTGTTATTGCACACTATACAATTGAAAGAAACAGTTGTTTAACATAAAACAAAATTAGTAGTCTATGTTTTAGAAATATAACACAATATAACAGTTGTATGATACTATTATTGTCTAGTAGTCTTCCGAGCAGCTGTCTGATATATCTTTCAACTACTTTTGAAATTAGATATATATTTTTGACCGACAACACCTAACAATAGGAGTCTGAATTCGAAAACAACAGTAGTATATATTATAGATAGACAACAAAAAATCACAACTGTTTTTAACTCTAGAAAACAGATGTCTTACTCATACGAGTATAACTTAAAAAACATGTACTCTGTAAGATCACAAAAGAGGTGTCGTCAACCATACTACACAATTGTTTTTAACCAGTAGTCTGTAAATATATCAGACAGCTACTCGGAAGACTACTGAAACCAACAAAGTTAGACAACTAAAAGAAACAGTTGTCAGCATCTGTTTTTGACGTAGTGTTAGTCTAAGACCAATCTTTTTGTTATTTACCAACTCTTAAACTTATTCTAGTTTAAGGTACTTCTAACCAACTCTTAAGCTAGGCCCTTAGTTTAAGGTGCATATTTTTCTGATTGATTTACCAACTCTTAAACTAGCCTTCCCTTAAAGTACAAATCCAGAAAACCGAACAGTAGAATACTAACTGTCGGGTTGGGTGGTATCCCCAAACGAGTGCCTCTAGTTTGGTTTACGGATCCCGTACGTACGTTTTTACCCAAAGCCACCGAATATACATAATTATACCCGCAAGGCCCATTCTAATTTGAGGTTTATCTTAGAGATCTTCTAGATAGCCTTAACAATATAACTCATTTTTTCACCAATCCATTTATTTTGATTCTAGTTCAATACTTCATAATCATCATTTTATTCAGAATAATCCTCATCATTAATCTATAATAATCATACATCATAATCATCAATTAACATAACATTCAAAGCAATAGCAATTAGCAGTCTAGCTTCGAGTGTTAACACCCTAACTTACCGTCATGCATCAAATAACATATTAGAAATAATCAAAATATTATATTTACTTTGAAAATGGTTTCATTTCTGACTTGGAGTGGAAAAAATGTCATGATAGCATTTCAGGAGTTAATTTCCGAACATAAAGATTTTGGACAAGCTAAAATGGCATGTGGCGGTACCATCCTACCGTATCACGGTAGTGCATTACCGTCGTACGATAGTGCATTACAGCTGCCGCGTGCTACATTCGGAGTAGGAACAATACGTCGTCTTCAACCTTGGTTCAAGCTTTGTAAATATCATTTTTGAGCCACTAAACTTCAATTAAACTATATAAAAATATTCTCCAAGGTTCATAGATCATTTTGGTATCATTAATTCATAGTTTTAACATCAAATTCAAGGTTTATGATTCTTAGTTCTTCAAGCATGTCAAACAAAAACTCAACCAAATGTCCATTTATGAATGTAGAAACGACCTATATGAACATTCTAATCATTAGATATACCTACAGGCTTACCTCAATGCTGAACTATGATTCCAGTGAAAAGTCGACGAAACTTCTGGCGATAAAAGCTCTAAACTCCGGCGACCTCTCACAAAACTATCAGCACCAGGGTGTTCTTCTCTCTCAGAGCAGCGGAATAGGAGGAAGAATTGTAGAATTTGGTGAAGAATGGAGGAAACTAGTATTTTCTTATATAGGGGAAGGAAGAGGAAGAAGACACTAATGAAATATTTGTGAATCACCAAAATCGGCTAGTGCACCGATTAAACAGTAGCCGCTGATTAGTGTGTAGTTTCCTGATTGGGACTAATTTTTGGTCCCAGACGGGGTACACTTTTTGGTCCAACTTTCTTCGAATTGGAATCCGATTGAACCGTTGTGGTCAGATAGTCAAACTCTACACAACAATATAATTTTAATTATTTATTGACAAACTCTATAAACCATATACTCCCTCCGACCCAAAAAGAATTTCCTACTTTGATTAACGTGCAAAATCCCATAAATTTTAAAATGATTTTATTTACAAATTAGTAAGGAAATAACACATAAAAAATTATATTTAAAAACTACATCGAAAACTCTACAAAATAAGATGTGACAAGAATATTTTATTTTATCAAATGATCAATGAAAACACGCAAACAAATAAGAGTTATCGAGAAGCCGTAATAGTAAACAGGAAAGACTTTTTGGGATGGAGGGAGTATTTTTTGGATCCTTCTAAGTAATTAATTAATCATCAATTAATTAATTCTGATAGGCCTATTTTCGGGGCGTTACATCGAGAAACAAGAATGCCTGAATTACAATGAACTAAAGGTTCCTAAATTCTCAAATAGTTGAATATTAAATTGATCAAGCCAAAAATGCTCAACACACTTGCCTTGGAGTCAAATCGAAGGATGATAGTAGTAGAGACAATAGCTGATTCGGTACCTAGTACCATCCAAACGGTAGGCTATACCGCCGAACCGGTATAGAGAAACCGCCAAGTGCAACATACGTATGAGCAGAATGGCCTATACTGATACCCCCTAACGGTAGGTCGTACTGTTTCTCCGGTACCATGATACCGAAAGCCTGGTACTAAGGTACCGACCATGTTGACGAATTACGTTCACTTCCCATTCATTATCTTCAACTGTTCTCTCTCCACCATTCAAGTATCCTATTCTTTCTCAAATTCTTCCATTCTTTGATCAAATTCTTCAATTTTTCATTTCCAAATCTCTATCTCCTACTCTTGTTCGAGTTATGAGTGAAATCGTTGATGATACTCAATCCGTGTTCAAGGTTTACAGCCACACGTGTTAGAATAAGTGACCAATGTTAGAGGGGGGGGGGTGAATAGCGTTTGATCGTAGAAATTGGAGGAATAAAAAATTCAAAAGCATGAAAAGTAGAGAGCGTAGAAAAAGTAAAGGGAGCACAAAAAGATTTATACTGGTTCACCACAACAAGTGGCTAATCCAGTCTCCCGAGAGACTCTCTCGAGCTACACTACTTCTGTTAAGCTTACGGGTGCTTAACAAACCATTACAACTTGAGAACTCGAGTCCCACGAGCCTCAACAACACTTGTTCGGAGATACCGCACTCCAAGACTTCAACCCGAAGGAAAAGCACCTTTCCTTCGTACAACCAAGGGAAACAAACTTCCCTTGATGTCTATAAACACTAAGAACACTCAAGACCAAGGCTCTCTCAAAAGAGTGAATATGAGTAAAGTAATATGCTCAAGATCACAACACGAACTTCACAAAAGTGGCTCTAAAAAAGCTATGAATAATGTATGAATAATATGCAATGAAAGAATAGGAGTTATTAAGTAATGTGTTGTGTAAAACAGACCCAAACACCCCATTTTATAGTGGAAAAATAGGCTCCAACGGATCAAAACATTTAAGGGGTGATTGGCACAATTTGTGGGATTTGATTAAATTTGGATCTGCTGAAATTCACCGAGACAGCGCTGTCCTAGGCTTGGGTTTTGAAAATTGGGAAGCAACGGTCATGCCAACAGCGATGTCCAATACCCCTACTTTGCTATTTTGGCTGTTGACCTCCAAACAAGGAAAGTTTTAGCCATAAATCCCCCCAACGGTTAGGTGCCTACACGATGTTCACAACTTGAACATCGCTGTTTAGGCCTGACTTTGAAGGTGGAAAGTTTGGTCTGATATCGCTGTTGCTGGGACAACAGCGCTGTCCAAAAACTTTCTGCCAATGCAATTGTTTTTGGCTTAGGTTGGACAGCGATGTAGGGAAGGCTACATCACTATTCTAGATGTTTCTGGAAACCCAACCTTGGCTCAACAGCGATGTCTAACATGCAACATTGCTGTTTGAAGACTTAACACCAAACCATGGTTTTCAGCCACCCAAGCCAGACAGCGCTGTTGGTTACACCAACATCGTTGTTGGGCTCTTTTAGCCAGACTCATTGTTGGTTTAGTCATGCCGTTAGCCGATGTCAAAAATGTAAGCTCTTCAAAATAAAAAGCAAGTACTGAAAATGTTTTTTTAAAGCACTTTGCTAAGAAATAAAGTAAAACATTTTAAAAACCACGTCATTTAATTGAAAAACACGGCTAGCCAAGTTTACGCCGTTTCGCATGGTTTTCACTAAACGACCAAAAACGAAAGGTGGTTTTTGAAGCATTTTTGTTGGAGAACTATTTAAATATTCCCAGAAGTAAAAGCCAATCATTAAAAGTTGAAAACCACTTGGTTGGTTCGGACCCCAAAAACCAACACCGATAACCGAAGGCCGAACGCCGGTTTCTGAAGACCGAACGACGGATGGCTTGGTTTTTGGTTTGGGCGAACTCCAAGTGTTTTTAGGCATGTGTAAAACTTAAGAAAACCATTTTTGAATATGCAAAGAGTATTTTGATGAAATGAGCCTAGAGAGCCATGTTTTGAAAGTTTGTGCCGGTCTTGATCATATTAAGACCGACTCAATACAATTCTAAGTCTTCGTTCTTGATTCTTGGTTCTTGGTTCTCAAATCATCATGCCATGTTCCTTCGCCTTGGTTTTGCTCACTTTAACCTTGTTATTGTCACGGCGGTTTGGCATTATCAAAACCTGTCATAAAACGAACACAGTTTAGTACGACATAGGCGTAAACCCGTGTTCCAACAATTTCTCCCTTTTTGATAATGGCAAACATGACGGGGATATGCATACTAAGTGATATTTGATTTTGAAAAGTTTGAAAAGTTTCCCCCTTAATTTGTGCTTAAAAAACGAGTAGTCATATTAAAATCAAACGATCCCGTTTTTAGAGACGTTCCCCCTTAGTGTATGCATAACCCTTTTCTTCCCCCTTTTGACATTAGTAAAAAGATAAAAGATAATTTTATTTATTAAATTGGGAAAAAGCGGTGTACAGTGGAAGCGATTGAAGAAAAACAGGACAATAATAAAAAAAGAGATAGAAATTCTAGGGGTGTCCTAGTCTTCGTCTTCGGTTTCCTCCTCGTCATCGTCGACGTCCATCTCATCCCCATCGATGGCATCGTCGAATCTATCTTCGTCCGGGGAGCTTGACGGGGTGTAGAAGGCATTGTCTTCGTCCTCGTCACCGTACACTTGCCCAAAGAACGTGCCATGGTACGGTGGGGGACGTAGTTAACGCGTTGGAAGTACGCGTTCATGGCGTACCCTTGGCGTTGGACATCCTCGTCGAGCCTCTCAAGGTAGCCATCCATCCCGTCAACTTTGAAGTGAAGGCGGTTGAGGGAGTCGGCAATGGAGGCAAGGTTGGCCCGGGCCTGGGGTTCAGCTGGGCCAGGGGCAGTGGCAGTGCGGCGTGGCACGGCAGTGGCAGGCGCGGCGTTGTCCGACCGCTTTGTGAAGGTTTGGGTGCTGATCGTCCAAAGCTTCGTGGCCTTCGTGAGCGGGCCAATGGTGGTGGTGAACTTGAGCCGTTCAAGGATGTCCATCACCAAGAACGGGTACGGGAGGAGGTGATCGTGGTCGGTGGACGCGACAACCGTCATGTTGATCATGACAAACTTCGCCTAGTTGATTGGCGCCTTGTGCATGACGCGGGAAGAAGCTTGAGGTCCTCACCGGACATGATCGTGTGCCCGTGCTCCCGGGGTTTGATAATCCGGGACACGATGTAGAGGAGGAGACGGCCTTCGTTTTTCGCTGAGTGGATGGTGGGGCGGCTCGAGGCGTGCCGGATGAGCTCGGTGATGCCAAGCTCGTTGAGGATAAGGCCCTCGTTGTTGAGCACCCATTCCTCTCCGACTCAGTGGGAGACATCGTCGCCTTGGTAAGGAAGGCCAGCGATGCGCCAAGCTGCTCAACGGTGAGCTCAATCGGCTTGCTCTTGACAAAGGAGTGGAGCACGTCGTCCTCACGCCAGAGGTTGGAGTAGAAGACCCGAATCAGCGCTAGGTTGATCTCCTTCCGAGTCCGGGAGACAAACGACCAGAGGCCGGTTTGATGAAACTGTGCGTCGAGGTTGTCGTAGCCTTGTAGCTCTGGTAGGCGCTCCGAGACGATCCTTGAGGGAGCCACAACCCGTTTAGAGAAGAAGGTGAGGAAACGGGTGCGCTCCTCCTCGGAATCGAACCAAAGGTACGACCCATCGCCAAAGTAGAGGCGCTCCTCAGAGTTTGTTGCCGGTTCCCGAGATTTTGACTTTGATTTCCCAGAGGTGGCAGCCCTGCTCGTGTCTTTGCCCATGGTGATGAAGAAGTCTCAAAAAAAAGTGTAGAGAAGATGAAATATGCAAGAGGAAGGAGGAGAATTGTGTTTGTGTGTGTAAAAGTGAGGAGAGAGGGTCCAAATATATAGAAAAGAGGGGTTCCCAACGTTTAGATTTCAAAAATATGGCTGTTGGAGCAATAAATGCAGGTGCTAACGGTTATTTTTTTTGAAAAATTCAACGCGAACAGCGATGTTCTAAAGGGGACATCGTTGTTAAGACAGCGCTGTTGTACCTTTGTACAGCGCTGTTCTGCGTTAAGTGTTAAAAACCAGGTGTCATATGGAAAGCGATGTTGGGTATCCTACAGCGATGTTCCAAAAGTTTCTAGAATTGTGTAAGGGTTTGTACCCATTAGAACAAGGCTGTTGGGTTTCCCTACATCGCTGTTTTACGATAGGAAAAAAATTTTGTACAAATGGACCGCGATGTTAAAAAGGGTGACATCGCTGTTTGAAAAGTTTCTGGTTTTGGTTGAAAACAAGGGGTTTTGGGTAGACAACGATGTTTAGAAAAGAGACATCGATGTTCAAAAAGTTTCTGGAAAGCAAAGACTGAGAAGACTTCCTATTACGGCGATGTTGGGCTATGTTACAGCGCTATTTGAGCAAGATAGTTGACAGTGTTTCCATCAACAGCGCTGTTGGGTCTCCTAGACATCGCTGTTTGCATGGTTTCCCCTGGTTTTGTTGCTTGTTGATTACCTACAAAGTAACACTTTGGTACCCAAAATATTTTTATGGGTCCTTGGTGGTTAATTGGTTTTTATTATCCACACACACACTGAATGTTTATTTCCAAACACACACACACACACACGATTTGATGATTATTTAGGGGTTACCTTGGCCAACCCGTCGTCCCGTGGTTGGCAGGATCCAATCTACCTGAACGAAGTGCCGATATCTCGATGTGGTCTGTGTTGGTTCTGGTAACGGAATGTGGACTTTCTTCTTTTCGTCAAAGTAGAAGAAATAATACGGTTTCTTTTGTGCATTTTCCTGTGGAGATTTCCTATGCTACGAATATCCTTTTCTAAAGGATTTCTTTTTGTTAGCACCAAAAATGTTGTGTGTTTCATTACAGGTGAAGTGCCTATGTCTGTTAAAACACACGGGAGCTATATGTCCTACCCTATTGCAATAATGGCATACTACGTTTGGGTTGAACATATGCCTTGGTTGATAATATCTAGGGGGCCTAACCATGTTTGTCCTATTTTGAGAAAAGGATGATTTATGCATGTCTTCAAAAGGATCATTTCTAGGTGTTCTCATATTATTTCTTCTATTTTGAGAAAAATTATTATTATGCACAAAATCATTTTTCTTAGGTTGTCTACCATGAACATTTTCATTCCTAGGTTTTTGTCTAGGTTGTCTAGTGTTCTTAGATTGACTAGTTTTTCTGTTATTCTGATTTTTAAGTTTCTTACGTTGAACCTTAGGTGGTTGTCTAGGTGATTGCTCAACGTTTTCTTTATCCTTAGCTCCATTTTTATTAAAGCATGTTCCTTCTTTAGAAAAATGCATGGTGTCAAGGAGTAAATTAAGATCTCTGTGCGGAGTATTAAATTTCTTAACCGTACTCTCAAGTTTAGTGACTTTATCCTTTAAAGCTTTACAAGATTCACATTCGTTTGAGGAACTTTCCGGTTTGTCGGCGCTCATTTTGCCATAAAATTTATTTTCTTGTTTCAACTTCTCATTATCTTTTTCCAGTTTTTCAAAATCATTTTCAAGGGTGGAGAGGCGTTTCTTTAACGATTTGTTGATTTTAGAAGAGCTAACAAATTCATCATAAAGTTTGTGAAGTGCTACTTGAATTTCTTCAAAGGTGTAAGAGTCGGAAGAAATGGTACATACCTTTTGTACATCGTCGGTTTGGTCTTCGTGTGCCATGAGACAGAGGTTGGCAGCTTCATCCTCGTCTTGGTCGGTTGATTCGTCGCCGGAGTCGCCACCCCAAGAGATATATGCCCTTTGCCTTTTGAAGTGCCGAGCATTCCTTCCGCTTTTCGGGCATTTGTTCTTGATGTGCCCGGCTTCTCCACATCCATAGCACACAAGGCCATCCTCAACATTTTCTTTCTTCCTTAGAAGTTTACAAAACTTCTTCATGACAAGCTTGACTTATTCATCGTCGCTTGAATCATCCATCGTTGATTCTTTGACGGCTTTTAATGCTATCCCTTTCCTTTGGTCATTCAAAGACGGGTTAATAATAGAAGATTCATAGGTTTTTCGATTACCTCTTAGACCGTCGATGGTGACATTTGATGTGCCGATTGATTCATAGATGGCATCGGCCTTGGATCGCCATTCGGATGTCAAGCTCCGTAGGATCTTTCGCACAAGATCCCTGTCGGTGTACGTCTTCTTTAATGCATGAAGATTGTTGACTATCTTGGAAAAACGGTCGAACATATTGTCGATCTTCTCGTGCTCCTTCATCCTGAACATCTCATACTCTTGGGTGAGGAAGTCGATCTTGGCTTCACGTACTTGGTCTGTTCCTTCGTACGTCACCTCGAGCTTATCCAACATCTCCTTGGCGGTTGAGCAGCAGTAGATCTTGCGGTAGTCATCGGGATTGACCGCGCAGTAGAGCATGTTAATCGCCTTTGCATAGTTTTCTACTTTCTTGATGTCTTCGGCATCAAATTCGTCTTCGGTCTTGGGGATCAACTTATCTCCGACTTTCTTCATTGGCACCTCTTCCCCGTTTTTGATAACCAACCATAATTGGAAGTTCGTGGAACGAATATAGATTCTCATTCGTTCTTTCCAATATGTATAATTGGTTCCATCAAAAAGAGGTGGCCGTGTGGTTGATTGCCCTTCACCTATTCCTGCATACAAATTTCTAGAAGAAGAACCCATGATCGCTTTTACTCTCAAACGGTTAAAATTTTGGACGCGAGTTAGGCTCTGATACCAATTGTTAGAATAAGTGACCAACGCTAGAGGGGGGGTGAATAGCATTTGATCGTAGAAATCGCAAGAATAAAAAATTCAAAAGCATGAAAAGTAGAGAGCGTAGAAAAAGTAAAGGGAGCACACCAAGATTTATACTGGTTCACCACAACGTGTGGCTAATCCAGTCTCCCGAGAGACTCTCTCGAGCTACACTACTTCTGTTAAGCTTACGGGTGCTTAACAAACCGTTACAACTTGAGAACTCGAGTCTCACGAGCCTCAACAACACTTGCTCGGAGATACCGCACTTCAAGACTTCAACCCGAAGGAAAAGCACCTTTCCTTCGTACAACCAAGGGAAACAAACTTCCCTTGATGTCTATAAACACTAAGAATAAGAACACTCAAGACCAAGGCTCTCTCAAAAGGGTGAATATGAGTAAAGTAATACGCTCAAGATCACAACACAAACTTCACAAAAGTGGCTCTCAAAAAGCTATGAATAATGTTTGAATAATATGCAATGAAAGAATAGGAGTTGTGAAGTAATGTGTTGTGTAAAACAGACCCAAACACCCCATTTTATAGTGGAAAAATAGGCTCCAACGGATCAAAACATTTAAGGGCTGATTGGCACAATTTGTGGGATTTGATTAAATTTGGATCTACTGAAATTCACCCAGACAGCGCTGTCCTAGGCTTGGAAATCGCTGTTCTAGGCTTGGGTTTTGAAAATTGGGTAGCAACAGTCATGCCAACAGCGATGTCCAAACCCCTACATCGCTGTTTTGGCTGTTGACTTCCAAACAAGGAAAGTTTTAGCCATAAATTCCCCCCAACGGTCAGGTGCCTACATCGATGTTCACAACTTGAACATCGCTATTTAGGCCTGACTTTGATGGTGGAAAGTTTGCCCAGACATCGCTGTTGCTGGGACAACAGCACTGTCCAAAAACTTTCTGCCAATGCAATTGTTTTTTCTTAGGTAGGATAGCGATGTAGGAAAGGCTACATCGCTGTTCCAGATGTGTCTAGAAACCCAACCTTGGCTCAACAGCGATGTCTAACATGCAACATCGTTGTTTGAAGACTTAACGCCAAACCATGGTTTTTAGCCACCCAAGCCAGACAACGCTATTGGTTACACCAACATCGCTGTTGGGCTGGTTTAGCCAGACCCATGGTTGGTTTAGTCATGCCGTTAGCCGATGTCAAAAATGTAAGTTCTCCAAAATAAAAAGCAAGTATTGAAAATGTTTGTTTAAAGCATTTTGCTAAGAAATCAAGTAAAGCATTTTAAAAACCACGTCATTTAATTGAAAACCACGGCTAGCCAAGTTTACGTTGTTTCGCATGGTTTTCACTAAACAACCAAAAATGAAAGGTGGTTTTTGAAGCGTTTTTGTTGGAGAACTATATAATATGCCCAGAAGTAAAGCCAATCATTAAAAGTTGAAAACCAATTGGTTGGTTCGGACACCAAAAACCAACACCGATAACCGAAGGTGGAAAGCCGGTTTCTGAAGACCGAATGACAGGTGGCTTGGTTTTTGGTTTGGGTGAACTCCAAGTGTTTTTAGGCATGTTTAGAACTTAAGAAAACCATTTTTGAATATGCAAAGATTATTTTGATGAAAGGAGCCTAGAGAGCCATGTTTTGAAAGTTTGTGCCGGTCTTGATCACATTAAGACCGACTCAATACAATTCTAAGTCTTCGTTCTTGATTCTTGGTTCTTGGTTCTCAAATCATCATGCCATGTTCCTTCGCCTTGGTTTTGCTCACTTTAACCTTGTTATTGTCATGGCGGTTTGGCATTATCAAAACCTGTCATAAAACGAACACGGTTTAGTACGACATAGGCGTAAACCCGTGTTCCAACAATTTCCCCTTTTTGATAATGGCAAACAAGACGGGGATATGCATACTAAGGGATATTTGATTTTGAAAAGTGTGAAAAAGTTCCCCCTTAATTTGTGCTTAAAAAACGAGTAGTCATATTAAAATCAAACGATCCCGTTTTTAGAGACGTTCCCCCTTAGTGTATGCATAACCCTTTTCTTCCCCCTTTTGACATTAACAAAAAGATAAAAGATAATTTTATTTATTAAATTAGGAAAAAGCAGAGTACAACGGAAGCAATTGAAGAAAAACAGGACAATAATAAAAAAAGAGAGAAATTCTAGGGGTGTCCTAGTCTTCGTCTTCGGTTTCCTCCTCGTCGTCGTCGACGTCCATCTCATCCCCATCGATGGTATCGTCGAATTCATCTTCGTCCAGGGAGCTTGACGGGGCGTAGGAGGCATCGTCTTCGTCCTCGTCACCGTACACTTGCCCAAAGAATGTGCCATGGTACGGTGGGGGGACGTAGTTAACGCGTTGGAAGTACGCGTTCATGGCGTACCCTTGGCGTTGGACAGCCTCGTCGAGCCTCTCAAGGTAACCATCCATCCCGTCAACTTTGAAGTGAAGGCAGTTGAGGGAGTCGGCGATGGAGGCAAGGTTGGCCCGGGCCTGGGCTTCGGCTGGGCTAGGGGCAGTGGCAGTGCGGCGTGGCGCGGCAGTTGCAGGCACGGCGTTGTCCGACCGCTTTGTGAAGGTTTGGGCGCTTATCGTCCAAAGCTTCGTGGCCTTCATGAGCGGGCCAACGGTGGTGGTGACCTAGAGCCGTTCAAGGATGTCCATCACCAAGAACAGGTACGGGAGGAGGTGATCATGGTCAATGGACGCGGCGACCGTCATGTTGATCATGACAAACTTCGCCCAGTTGATTGGCGCCGTGTGCATGATCGCGTGAAGAAGCTTGAGGTCCTCACCGGACATGATCGTGTGCCCGTGCTTCCAGGGTTTGATAATCCGGGATATGGTGAAGAATTTTGATTTAACTCAAAATTCCCGTAGTAGTAAAGGGAACAGACTAGATCTTCAAAAGATCAGTTTATCCCGTGTCGTCTCAAGGATCGGCCCAAGGGAAAGTTTAGTAAGACTAGCTAGACAAGTTTTACTCGCTGAATTGAAAAGTTTTCAATAAGTCGAATAAGGAAAGAGGATTGAATTTTATCTTTCAGAAATAAAAAGCAGGGATGTAATTATTGGTGAGGTGATGATTCTTTTTAGAGTAAAACACCGGTTACTTTTACTTTAATTTTTTTTACTAGTAAGTAAATATCTTTTCAAATATTTATTTAACAATCAATCCAATGTCTAAAGATCAATTATCAAATTACTGGACTTGACTTAATTAAATCCCAGATTTCTCAAGAAATATAATTTTCAAGAATAGATTTGTCTTCTCTCGATTTACGAATCTCAAGTATAAATTCTCAGTAATAAAAACTAGTAATTTGCCTTGACAATAATATAATTTAACTCAATGATTTTCTCAGAAAATTACCATTACCATTCCAATAATCACATCCCTAAT